TTGATGTTGATAAACTATAAAAAATGATGATGTCATCTTATTTTAATTTTTCAATTTGCCCTTGGATGTCAATATTGGAGTCTCTATTGACTGAAATATCCCCAAAAATGTCCACATTGAGAAGTAGGAGTAAAAACTTTGGTAAGCCCGAATTAACATTTTTACACTGCTTTGGGTTTGGGCCTTCGGGCTGAGTCCATTCAAATTTTGACAAAAACCCAACCTGAACACGCCCAAGTTGTACCATCAAAAAGAATTAACATCATGGATAAATTGGGAACTTTAAAGTGTTTAAAAGCACAATATCATCATTTTTGGGGTATTTATGTTATTGGGTTACACAACAGGGGTGGCCCATCACCATACCCTTAAGGCCTTAACCCCCAACACTTATTGGCAGTGGGATTTGATCCTAAGTCTCCGCTACAAACATCTAGAGATCCCACCAACAGAGCCATCATCAGTTGGTTATCATTTTTTATTTGTTTTTTAGACTGAGTTTGGAAAGAGTACAAATGCAAATACATACAAAATAATGCAAAATATAAGGTTTTGCACTCTACATATTTGCATTTGTACTCCTTCCAAACTGAGCCTTAGGCTGTATTTGATTGCAATGCATATGAATTTATACTGATGCAAAACTGTGGTAGTGCAAAGGATTTGAGTGTAAATTCTGATATATTTTTATTTTAAGTTTTAGCTCATTTTGTTTCATTGCATTACAAATGAAGTAAATTAAGATATGAAGCAGAATAAAGCAAAACCCAAAACAAAATCAAATGAAAATTTACATTTTCTTTTTTTCATTTTCACTCCCATGCAATAATACTTTTATTATCCATTAAAAAAACAGAAGGGGCTGATTTGTGCAATTTCAAGAAATTTGGAGTGTTCAAAGTAGAAGGTAGGTTTAAATAATTTACCTTCATTTTGTTTTAACTAGAGGCAAAGAAAAATAATCTGGTTATAGCTGCAAACCAAACCGAATTTACTCCCTTACTACTAATCAGATTTTAATTCCTTGGTTAGGTAGGAGTTCAAAGTAGCAAACCAAACAATTGGCAGAAAACACCCTACATTTTATTATATGCATAGAAAGTGATTACTTTTTTAATGACTTGTTAATTCTTTACTTTACAAACACTAAAGGGGATTCGGATTTAATATTAATCAGATTGGATCTGGTTTAAATTTGATCTGATTATAACTGTAGTTTCACCAGAAACCTTGCCATCACTTCTTTAGGTAACTTTATCTTCTTAATTACATTTTAAATTTGTTTGATTTTTTAGAGAATTAAAATGTTTTATTTTTCTTTTCCCCAGATAACATGGGCATACTACAGAAGCAACAAAGTAAGTTGATAAAATTGTTTCGTACTAATACCTTTTCTCAAATTGTTTTGTACTAATTACCGATATGTAAGCTGATCAAAACACTTGCTAGCATATATGCCGAAAAATTGTATGCTCTAGATTTTTTCACCAACCATAAATTAAGACTTTCCCTTCCAATAAATAAATAATCGTTGAACTATGCTCTATCACCGACCCCAAATTAATGCATTCCTTTCCAACCAATAAATAAATAATATTTCATATTATAATTGTCCAACAATGAGGTAAATGGCTAGCTAATATCAAACTGGATTTTTTTTTTTGTTAAAAAGAAATCGAGAACATGCAAGACTAAATAAACACATGAACTTACCAATTAATGCCTGAAGCCAATGCGCTTGATTCGTCGTATCCAACCAATAGTCGTTGAAATGTATCCTAACATTGCTAATGGCGCTTGATTAGTGTTAAACAACCACCAATATTAGTAAACTTACCGACTAATGGTTGAAGCCAAAGCTGATGGGTCAGAGTCGTCCTTTCCAACCAATAGTCTTGAACTGAGATTTACTGTCAGTGGTGTTTGATTGATTTGCCTGTACTCTCCAGCAACAAGAAACATGAGGACGTGAGAGAAAATAAGGGTTTTTTATTTTTTATTTTTTGTAAATAAACCAAATTTGTTTGATTCCTGTGGGCATTGCCTGTCCTCTCACTGCCATTAAACTCAAACCAGAGGAACACTTTGCAGTTCATCTCTGCCAAATGCCAAAAAACAGCAAATAATTTTTTGCTGGTCCCTTCAGATCTTCTGCAGTTCTGCTATACTCAAGCCAATGTTTGGGGGAAATTAATAACAAAGGGCAAAGAGGGAATGCTCAAAAGGAACCACCCTGTAAATATAAAATGAGGATGTCTTGACCATTTCGAGCATTTTAAGAGGGTAAAATTGAAAATCTGAAATCAGGGTGTGTTGGACGATTCATCCATTTTCATTTTTATAAATGGGTAACATTTTGTTTGGCTTCAAATCAATACCTCTATTACTCTTCATCATGGCAATTGATATATTAGTGCATCAGTCGGATTATTTGTTTTAGAATTTTTACTGTTCTACAAATTAATCTCTGAGTTTCGTTAATTTGACAAAACCCTCTGCGTCCAGTGCATGAGCATGACGAGAACTTTAACTTCCTCCATGGTCTTGAAGACGCATCGTCTGCCACAAAACCTGTTGCACCGTCTCGCAGTCGTAGTAGGACTGACTCTCTTAGATCACAAGGCCCTAAGCTAGCTGACACTGGAGCTCTGTGGAGACTGGAGAGCATAGCATTCACAGTCGTGAGTCGTCTCTGCTAAATACATAAAGTAGTCACCAGTACTGCATTGCAGACTAAAACTTTTTCTGTTGATGGAGTTCCGAGCTCCCACTCCAATTTTTTAAAATTAAACTTCGCCAGAAATAGGGATTTCAAAATTAAAGTTGGTCAGATTCTGGTTGGTCCATTTTTTTGTTTTCCAGGCCCGAGGACCTGGCTTTCTGCGCACCTTCTTATACTTGGTGCTAAGCTTTGCCCCACTCCCGCCCATGATCACCCTTAGTTTGGTAAGCCACATATATGATTGGAAAGGAATCCCTTGAAGTCCAAGATGAAACAATAAATGGGTATCAACAGTTTATATAAATTATATTTGTTTGAAATGAATTTTAATTTTAGCCGGTGTTTGGCACTGTTGGGTGTTTATTCAATAAACTTTGTCATATAGGCACCATTTCAGCATTTACCCCATCATGTTGATCCGTATGCATAAAGACTTGCAAAAATAGGCTTTGATTTATATGCACGTTTACTGTTGGGAGAATTACTATTTTGTTAATGTGGTGTCTAATGATACTAGTCTTAGGAGGAAATGAATGAGACCAGATTCGGTCAATGCAAAGTCCGTTCAAACAGTCATTATAGCCTTACACTGGGAATATCTCTCCATGGGAGATATTCTCGATACAAGGCTATAAAGGCTGTTGTTCAAACGACCCATGCTCTGACTGAAGCCGGTCTCCAAATGGATAGGTCCTAAGTCTTGGAAAAATATACTTACCCACATAAATGAGCCACTTGAAAATCAATCTTAGTTTTTTAATGGGACCCACTAATGTCGAAACATAGTCAACTAAGTAGTAGCTCAGTGGACATGTAATCTAGGTAGTCCCAAACAAGATGCGGTTTCCAGCCCCGCTATTGACTCTTACCACGTTTGTAAAGAGTTATTAAGGTTATTAGAAAATGTATTATACCATACCAAGGAAAATTGAAATACCATCAATACCAAAAAGAAAAAAAAAAAGAAAAAAAAACTAATGTCGAAACATGAATACAAATTTTTTTCTTTTGCATGAGACCCACCACCTTACCCGCCCCATTACTAGAAAACGGACGCCACAGTGTTTGAAATAAATCCATTCTATACAAAGAAGGAAAAAAGAAGAAAAAGAAAACAATTATATGCACTTCTTTTCTTAACAATTATGAAAAGAAAAGAAATCATGGAGTCCTTTCATTTTCGAGTCTGGATCACCTCCCAACATTCAGCACCCTATTAACAACATTTGACACACATGACTGTTCTCACTTTTATGATGAACCCAGTTGTATAGGCGTATAGCAAGATGTGCAGTGTCAAAACAAGTTGGTAGGGTGTTGGAACTTGTTTAGTTAGCACGTTTCCCAACTCTTCGTTTTCATTTGGCTTATCTTCCAACACTTCAGACAGATCCGGTCAAATATAGAACCTAACAAATGTCCATGTGGACCATATGTGGTACCCGATTAGGAGTACGTCCCATCAAAGGGTGCAAGATAAGATAAGATACTCTTTTTCTCTTTTATTTTCATTTATACTTATGTAATTATATGATTAGAAAAACTTTAATATCAATGATTTTCCATTAGAAAATGGCCCATCAACCATCGTAGATGAGATGCCCAACTACCCAAGTACTGATTAATTGCAGGATTAGTCCGGATTCCTCTCCACATATATAGCCAGACTTGGATAGTTATGCAGCAAAAGGACCCAAACCCGATATACACCATGGTCCATGTAGAAACCTCAATGAAAGAAGGATACCAACGGGTCCGGTTTGGTATGATCTTGCCTAAACCCTAACCCGATATGAATCAACATTAACCCGAATCCGACACAATCCAATTAAATGAATAGGGGGTATCAAACCTGCCCTAACTCTTGTGTAATATACCTATATTTAATTGATATTATATACACTAATATCTTCAAGACTACGGTGTCAAACAGGTCAGGTTAGTGTGGGTTCTCTTGAAACCCAAACCCTACCTGAAACCCCAAATAAAAAATAACCCGATCCAAATATGGTCAGTGCGGGTTTACCACCTAACCCGACCCACTGACATCCCTAGAAGGGAAGGCAAGCTTAAAGGGAAAAAAGAAGACAATAGCCGCACCCAGATCAAGAAGAGACGCCCCTTAGTTCTATTTTTAAAATTTGTTGGAATGTTCACATTCAATATGCATGCCACATGTACTTTTTATTTTGCTGGGTCTGCCACCCACCTATCCTCCCTCCAATTGGATCCCCGCACACTGACTTCTCCCTCTCTCCAACGCAGTCGTGATCTCTCTCTCTCTCTCTCTCTGAGCCTGAGGTCTGAGCAACTCCCCCCGTCAGCCCTCAGCCCGTCTCTTTTTCTAATCCTTTATCGAGCGAGCGCGCACTGTCGTCGCATAACTCTTATCGGAGAAAGAGATAAAGACAATCACCAGAAACCCACTACGTATCTCAATGAGAGAGCATCAACTTCCATGTAGGCATGAACACCAGCTCCGAAGAAGAGAAGCAGAGAAGCATCTCTGAAGCTGCCTCCCTACGATTAAAACCGTACAGATTTTAAGTTCGGTTGGATAAGGTTACGGAAATTTGTAAAAACAGCTCTGGCCAATCCCTGCTCTCCACCTTTTCCAATCAAAAGCCAGGCTTTTCAGCGGAAAGTGAAAGATATTCGAAAAGTTGAAAACCAGAACAATTTTCTTTTTTTGTTCTTCGTTCGCTTAATGACCCAACACCCCAATGATGGACACGTAATTAAGGAAATTTTATAAATTCCACATAAATAAATGAATTTTAAAATACCTGGCTTTGAGATTGCTCTTCTCCATTCTGTTTCCGAGGGCGTATCACTTGTGCATAAGAAGTTAAGAACCCATCACAACTGAACCTCCTTAAGATTCGCTGCCTCAGGAGAAAGCGGAGGACCAACCATAACCAGATCCGGCCCAGGTTCCTCCGCTTCCCTCGTCATTTCTTTTTTTGAATTTGAATTACGTCCCAAATAATCTATATATTTGTTTTTTTCTTCAATTTTGCAGGATACCAGTCGAAACTTATGCCTTTTTTCCTGGAGTTTTTCAAGCTGGAGAAAGGTATATCCTGGGATTTCACAACCATTTCCTTTCCTTCGTTTGGCTAAGGGTTCTGCAACATACCCTTCTGCGAAATCGGCTGCAGTTTCTCTTTACTTTACTCTGTGTGGATTTGGGGTCTGGCCTTTGCAGTATACCCTTTTCAAAAATCTTTCACTACCCTGCGGTTTTTGGAGGTTTTCAATCAAAGGAAACGTAGATTCTGGAATTTCGTTTGTCTTGATAATTTTCCTGATAACAACAACCTAGCCCTCCGTTCCCCATATCCTGAGGTTGAGGATTTTAGATAACACCCATTTGAGAAGTCTATCAGAAACTACCACTTTAGGGCTTTAGGTGAATCATTAATGGCGGATGGTTATGACTTTTTCAACATGGATGGTGGTGGAAGATCAATCAGAAATGAAGATTTTGAGGAAGAAGATGTTTGGGCGGTTGTGAAAGATAGAAAGGATACCAGTCCCAGGGTTAGAAAACCAAAAGATCATCAGTCCTCTGTTTCTAGTCCAACACCAAGGCGCTTTCCCACTGCTTCAAGAATGATACCAAGAGCAGCTAATAATGCCACACACGAGGCCAGAGCTCACCAGCAGTCAGCACCTGTAAACATTCCTGACTGGTCAAAGACATACAAGAAGAATTCAAAGGGGTCTGGCGGCCATAGCTTCAGCAAGGATGGTTCACGGGCAGACGGTGGTAGCTACAGTTACAGTAATGCTTTTATTAATGATGATGGGGAAAGTAATGTTATCGCTAGTGATGATGGCGATGACGATGAGATGATACCTCCCCATGAATGGATTGCCAAGAAGATGGCGAGGAGTCAGATTTCTTCTTTTTCTGTGTTTGAAGGTATTGGGAGGACACTCAAGGGAAGAGATCTCAGCAAAGTAAGGAACGCTATTCTCACCAGAACCGGTTTCCTAGAATAGCACACCAACAAGCCGTCATCGTTATCGTCGTCTTGCCACTTAGAGAGTGGTATCGGTGGGTTTCGTTTGATCTTCTTTTTTTTTTTTTTTTTTTTTTTTGTTTCCTTGAACTTCATTGATGTAATCCGAGATGTGTAGAGCTGAGATGAGAGGTTTCGTAACAGTCTTCTTGCCACTCAGAGCTGCAACTTTTTTGGTGGGGCTTGTTTGCTTTTTTTTTCTTTAACTTTTTATGCTTCCGGGCAGCCTAGCTCTGAGATTTTGTCATTGGGTTCGTGCTTGTGACTTTGTGTTTTCGGCCTTTCTGGCGTAAAGAAGAGTGATGAGATCGTCTTCACCTTTTTCTGTGCGTACAACTGCATTAGTATAAATACAAAGAATTAAACCTCTTTTGTTCTTTTTTTTATTATGTGATATGTGGTATAAAAAACGGAGTGGTAAAAGGGATAATCTATTAATCTTTGGAGAAGCTTTTGTTTCCTCTGTAAAATATCAGCACATTTCAGGATTCACGATTTAGATTTCTCATTCCCTTTCTGTACTTGGCTATGAAGTTCGCAGGAATTGGTTATTGGGATTTGCAACTCACAATTTTGCTTCCAACCCGATATTACAGCCACATCTCCACATGTGAATAATAAATATAAATATGGGAGAGGTTGCCGACGTGCGGCCAGAACATGTTTGTGAGGAGCAATCTGTGAAGTGCAGATTCGGATTTGTTGGAGTACTTGAGAAAGATTTAGCTGTTCAACGGGCTGTAAAACCAATGATAAAGTTCTATTTAAATACATGGGGCCTGCATCTCTAATGGGTAGATGGATAGAGATTCTTGCTGTTTAAATGTTTTTTATTGTGGCAAGTTAAATGCTTCTTGGCCCATGTCTGGAAGTGCTTGTTAATCTACCAGAAAAGTACTTATTAATATATTGTTTGGTAAAAAAGTGATTCTTTCAAATGGGGTAATATGGGTATTTTAAAAATTACATGATAGGCCAAGTGTTTAAAAATAAGTACCTTCTTGAGTGTTTAAGTTGGGCATGTAATGTTGGTTAAATATATGCCATTATTTTTTTTTTCTTTTTCCTTTATGAGGTAATTCTGTGGTCATTAACTAGCTTCATATTCTAGTAGCTTTGATTAGTGATAGAAACTTTCAAACTTCTTTATTTATTTATTTTAATTTAAGAAATACACAGATGCCATATGTTAAACACATTGTACATATATTTATTTATTTATAAAAAATAATTGCAATTTGTGAAGGTGTATGTATTGGACAAAAATTTAATATTCAGGTGGTCAAATGTTTGTTGTAATTCGTGGGACTGAATTATGTATGAAATACGATCCTATCTGCTAGGGGCTCGGCCAGTACATCTCTTTAAATAAGTTAAAATTCAAGAATGGTGTTTTAATTGATTTAATTTAGTACAAAACCTGCGCAAAATATATCTCTATGAAATGATGTCTTCCATCAACCTTCAATTATTCTCAGATATGGATCGATAATTATTGTTCTTCAGGCTTCAGCTATGAGCCTATGACTTGACTTTTAAGTATGTATGTGGATGTAAATCAATGCCAAGTTCAATGGAGTTTCATTTACATGCCCAAGCACAACCTCTTATTACTGAACAAATAACTCAGTAATTAATTGCAGAATTGAGTTGATTAATGACTCCGACAGTGTGAGACAGAGTGCCTGAGTCAACTTGCAAGTCAATAAGAAAATAATAATAATAAAATGTTGTAACTAAGTTAAGTTTGGGAAACAAAAGGATAAACTAGTGGGAACTATAATAATTAATTAATTGCTATGGTTGTTTTAAGGGGCAATAAAGCAGATGTGTTATGTTAACTGCGGAGGAACTGGTGGAAACCATAGAAGACTAGTAAGTGCTACTTTATTGGCTTATGATAGCATGTTGATAGATGGTTCATGCCTATTGATAATTTTATGTCTAATCCTATCCACAGTTTGTTTATTATAGATTTAGTTCTGATCCAAATCCCAATTCAATTTGATTATGACCGAACACAATAAACTCGTCAATTTCACAAGTAGAGTCTTTAATGGTTGGATGAGTACAATTAATGTTTTTAAAAGAATTGCAAGTTCCAACTTCTAACTATTGGAATTGGTTCTCGCTCACGGTTTAACCAGTTTGTCATCATCATGTCACAACTGACAAATGTTGTGCTAATTATGAGGCAAAATATATGATTCATTTATGCGACAAAAGATGTGATTGGTTGAATGTGATAATAAGCACATCTTATCAAATATGAAAGTACATATTATGAGAAATGAATTAATAAAAAGTAAATGGATTTTAAAGTGCTTGATTGAGATTTAGATTTAAAAATTTGGAGTATCAGACCAAGTATAAGGCCGATCCTAAGAGAGATCTTGCTTTGCCACAACATGGGCAGCCTTATTGGATGAGCTGTAGAGACTAATTTATGTCATTTGGGAGTACCCTTTTATGTTGTATCTTATGTACATTATTCTTTTTTGTAAAGTCACAGCTGTCATTTCCATAATTATGTTGTTTTTTTTTTTTTATTGTAAGAGGACACGTGTCCTTTCCATATTTGTGTATACTACTCTTCAATACAAGAAAATCTTTCTAGGCACGTGTATCATTGGAATACACCCTTTCATTTTCTAGCTTATCTTCTCTAGTTTGAACTAAGTTGACATGGTATTATAGTGGTTTTGTTCAACCTGTCCTTGATTGAAATCTGTCTTGTTTTGTGGGATCGACCCATCTTTTGGATCTCTCTGGTTCTTGTACTAATCAACACAAGTTTCTTGTCCTTTTTTTGGAAGATTGTTGTCAGCAGTAGGATTTTCTCTCTTTCTCTTAATCAACTACTTCAATCACTATGAAACTATGGATATGAGGTTGCACAGGTCAGATTTATATAGATTTACGATTTGTTTCTAGTTCGGATTACATTTGAAGGGTGTTTTGCCCTTCTTCTTATTCGACAGTCTAGAAAATTGACCTTTTTTGGACTGTTATCAGTTCACAACCTTTGTCTAGTTTTTTTTTTTTTGTTGGGTTTTGTTACTTCCCTGTTGTGTGTGATTGGACACACATCTTTCATCAAGCCTAGTTTTGTTTGGACCTTTGACTAATTTTTTTTTTAAGTTCTTGTTTCTTTTTTGTTGAAATGGCTATAGAGAAAATGGATATTCTATTAGAACCAACTATGCTTTCTAGAAATTCCATTTCTAGTTTTATGTTGAAGGAAATGGTCTATGGGGATTTGTGGATGGCTCCACAAAACAATTCGATGGGTCTGATTCCAAGGGGTTGAAACAGTGGAAGATCAACAATGCCAAAGTTGTATCTTGTTTTCTTGGTTCCATTGAAATTGATATTGCTATTTGAATGAGAAGTTTTCGGATGGCTAGTGAAATGTTCACCTATATGGAAAAGGTGTACCAATAGTCCAACATTTCTCGTCAGTATTAGATTGAAACAAAGATTTTTTTTTTATTACAATTAGGGTGAGAAGAAAATACAAAAATACTATGCTAGCTTTGTGAACTTATGGACAGAATATGAATTGGTTCATATGGATGAATCCACTTCTATTTGATGCATCAAAAATCTGAAAGAACATTTTGATAGGAGGAAGATCATGCATTTCCTAATGCATCTGAGACCTGAATATGAGATTGTAAGGTCTAACATTCTTAGTAGGGGCACTCCATTCACACTTGACATAGTAGGGGCACTCCATTCACACTTGACTCATTACTCAATCGACCTTGGGGTCGAGATCTGATTTTGGAACAAAGACAACCTTTTTGTCAAAGCCCAATAAGGACTTGTCCTGAGTATAGTGTTATGACTGTAAGGAATATGGACTTGTTATTTCACACTGTCGGAAGAAAATTTTCTATACTTATTCTAAGCAACATGGGCATATCATTCCTGAATATCCTACTCAACTAGCTAAGGGGAATGGTTCAAGTTCTAAGAAGAGTCAACATAAGGCTTTCTAAACAACAATTAAAGGTGTATATATAGGGAGTACTACTTCAGTAGGAAATGATGAAAATTTTGGAGCTCTTATAGAAGAGAGAATGCAACAACTAGTATCCTCAGCTATGTCCTTTGCATTTTTAGTCATTGGTCTTTTTAGTGACTCATCCTATTATTGTTCCTCTCCCAGTCACTTATGGATCATTGATTCCAGTTTCTCTAACCATATGACAAGGGCACACACTAATCAGTCCATTAAACTCAAATCTTTGAATAAACATATTATTACTGCTAACGGAGAGAAATTGGACATTGTTGAATGACATGATTATTTGTCTTTGTCTACATCTGTTAATTCATGTTTCCATCTTCCTAAAACTTTATTTGTTTCTAAACTCACAACAAATCTGATTTCAATCGGTTAACTAGTTGAGGATGGTAACATTGTTCCCTTTTCTCATGATGGTAGTTTGATATAGGACTAGCACACTTGGACAATGAAAGGGAAGGGGCAAAGATTGGGTTGGCTATTTGCCTTGGAATTTGAAAAGACACTGGGGCCTTCTTCCACATCTTGTTTGCTTACTACTACCCCTAGTTATGAAGTTGTTTGTAGAAATAATTTATGGCATTTGTGGCATAGGCGACTTGGTCATCCTTATGCAAATAAACTTGAGTCTTTGTTTCATGATGGACTTTTGTGTTCTAAAGTTACTTCTCTAATAATGTTGGTAAAGCTTACATTTCTTGTTGCTTGAGTAAGAGTCATGCTTTACCTTTTTCCTCTACTACTAAACATGCTTCTGTTCCATTTAAACTAGTGCACAGTGATGTTTGATCATCTCTGGTTATTTCAAGGTTAGGATATAAATATTTTATTACATTTATTGATGACTGTACTCATTTTACCTGGATGTACTTTTTGAGAAATAAATCTGAAGTTTTTTCGATCTACTTTTAGATTTTTCTTAGAAAAAGATGAAAAACCATTTTGATGCAAACATTGGGGTTCTTCGTTCAAACTTTGAGGGTGAATACTTTGATGGAGACTTTCAAAACATTTTAAGAAATAATAGAATTCAATCCCAAAGATATTGTCTTGGCACTCCACAACAAAATGGAGTGTCAGAGCGTAAGAATAGACATATATTGAGCATAGTTCAGACCCTTCTTCATGATTCCCACACTCCTACTTCATTTTGGGGAGGCGGCCAACACTACTATGTATCTTATTAACATTCTTCCCTCATTTGTCTTGCATAGTACCACTCCTTTTCAAAGATTTTTTCATCATTCACCTGATTTTTTGGTTCTTCATGTCTTTGGTTGTGTGCT